ATTAAAGTAGGTCCTGGCAGAGACCCTATTTGGCAGTGTTCTATTAGCCATAACTCTGTGTTATTGTACAGTCTCATAAAAAATCAATCTCTATTTTGCTAAAAGAATCCAGAATTTCAGATTTCCATTACATAAGTTGTTTCATCATCCCAACTGGTCCGAACAAATAAGGTTTTATTATTTTTTTTTATTAAAAATGTTGAAATAACAGAATCTTTGCTTGTTACACATAATACCAACTTCCAGATAATTCCATCATCTAAGTCCCAAAGAGAAAATCAGGTTTCCCAGTATATTTCCTTTCACATCAGAGCATTCCTTTGTATAATCTTGACCTTTTATATTTATAGATAGCAATACTGTCAGTGTGAGTTGTGTAGGTAAGTTTGGCCAAAAAGACAGAAGTTTTCTTTGAAGAAAACTGACTGGATACCATAACAGATACTTAGGGAGTTCTTCTAAGATTGAGTGGTCAGGAAAGAACTCTCTTAGAAGATGTATTCAAGCTGAAATGTGAAGGTTGAAAATGGCATTTGAGGAGAGAGGAACACAGAAATTTTGGTGTTTGGCTGTTCCTCTATAGCCATGTGTCTGGTGTGAGGTAGAAGTCTTGGTTGACCAGATAACTGAGGAGAGGCCAGAGTAGGTGACTGGAGCATATGGGCTAATGGCATGAGATGAAGTTATGAAGGTAGTCAGGGAATTTCTTGGTAAGATGGCATTATTAGATCATGCTTTAAGCCACAAGAGACAAAATATAACGACAGGAAATTAAAAGTTATAGCCAAGATCAAAGCAAGATATGTGTCTCTGTGGATCAGAAAACAAGAAGGGAGATGCAAAGAGGTCCACAGCTGAAGCCACTAGTGGCCTGGCTCTTGGGGAATGCAGGTAGAAAGGCTGGTAACTTGGTTCCTGCAACATATCAAAGACTAGATATGTACTGACGAAGTGGCAAGTGGAGTCAGGCTCACTGCTTAAAATCAGCACTGTTTATAAGTGAGAGAGGGCACCCTCACTTATGTCAGGGGGCTGATAAAAGTGACTGCTAACCAGTGCCTAGAATGATGGCTAGAATGAAGTGTGTATCTCTAAGTAAGTATGGAGTGTCAGGCTCCGGGTCCCGACCAGGACCTGAGCCAAACTACTGCTGGCTCAGTGACAGGATCTGCAGTGTTTCTGTCACTGAGGGTAGGATCCCTGAGCCATCATTTAAGATTCTACTCACGATGGGTGCTCAGGCACTTGTGGGGACATGGTACTAATAGAGACCAGGACAGAGACAGATGAGAGAGAATGTCCCACTGAAAATGAATTTGTACACCAACATTCCAAAACACATGAGGAACTACAGGACGTGGAGAAAAGGGAACCATCACACACTGTTGGAGGGAATGTAAATTGGTGCAGCCACTATGGAAAACAGTACGGAGACTCCTCAAAAAATTAAGAATTGAAATACCATAGAATCCAGCAATACAACTTCTGGGTATTTACTCAAAGGAAAGAAACACTAATTAGAAAACACATACGCACCCTAAGCGATCATCAGTAGATGAACGGATAGAAGGGATGTGGTGTGCGCGTGTGTGTGCATGTACACAACAGAATACCACTCACCCGTAATAAAGGAGGAAATCTTGCCAATTGTGACAACATGGGTGGTTCTAGAGAGTATTACACTAAGGCAGAGAAAGAAATAGTGTATGATCTCATGTATATGCAGAATGTAAAAAACAAAATAAAACCAAATATAAACGAATTCATAGATACAGAGAAAAAATGTCCTGCTGCCAGAGGGGAAGGGCAGGGCAGGGGTGAAAAAATAGATGGAGGAAATTAAGAAATACAAAGCTCCAGTTATAAAATAAATAAGTCATGGGGATGTAATATACAGCATAAGGAATATCGTCAATAATGCAGTAATTTTTACAGGGACATACCGTTACTAGACTTATTGTGGTGATCATTTTGTAATGTATTTTAATGTCAAATCACCATGTTGTACACCTGAAACTTAATATTTGTACATCAACTAAATTTCAAAGTCAATTAATTAAAAAATTTTTAAGAATGCAGCAGAGAGAAAAAAGAAATTTTAAAAAATGTGAAAAAGCAGCTAAGAGGCATGAAAGATATTTTGAGATTCTCCAATAAACTTCTAATAAGAGGTTCTAAACAAAAGAACCAAACAAACAGCCAGGAAATTTTTATTTTGCCAGAATTTTAGAAAGACTTGAGTTCTCAAATTGAAAGAATGCTCTGTAGGACTGAGCAGGATCAATAAAAGAAATCCAAACTTCGACGTATTGTAGTGAAACTTCCCAACATCAAGGATAGAGGATCTCAAAGCCTGATTTCAGTTAGGTTGCAGACATCTCTCATCAACAGCCCTTGATGCCAGAACACATGGAATAGTATCTTCAACATGCGAAAGAGAATAATTGTCAAGAGAGACTTCTCTGTAGCTAAACTATCTTTCAAGAATAAGAATGAGATGAAGATATTTTAAGAACTACAAAGAATCTCGCTAAAAGAATTGTTAAATAATGCATATTACAAGAAGAGACGTGATCCCAGAGGGAAGTTGTAGGCTGCATGGAAGAATAGTGAGTATTGGAATTGTTGAAATGGCATATAAATTAGTAAAAATATAAATATAAATATAATTTAATAAGGACCACGAAAGTAACTATTTTCCTCATGTTTATATCAAAAGGTGGAATTAAATTCCAGGTAACAATGACAAGAAGGAAGTTATAAAACCACAGGTATTACCATAAATATAAATGGATTAAGATTACATTTAAATATTAAAATATAATCAGCTAGATTAAAAAAAAACTAAGCAGTTACACGTTGCGTGAGGAGCAAACACCACCAAATGGCTAAAAATAATATGACAGAAAGAGATAACCACAACAACATTAACCAGAAGAAAATGGGGGTAACTATCAGACAGTGCAGGTGTAGCCCCCCCCCAAAAGCATTAGTAAGGATAAAATTCTGTGTAGTTACAAAATAGAGGTAGGAGTGTACCAGCTCACCTGGGGCCTGTGGGCCAGTTGGGTTTGGGCGGTCAGTGCGGACGGTAGCTGCATGGAGGGCAGGGCAGAGGCCGAGCGGTGTCGGGGTGAGCCAGGCAGAGGGACTGAGAGGGATGTCTCCCGGATGCCAGGAGGGCCTGTTTGGAGGAAAGTGGGCTGGTACCCAGTGCGTGCTGCTCAGAGGTGAAGTGTGATGTGGACCTCTGGGTGGTGGTCACTCAGCGTGACCGCTTTGGAGCGGGCGGGGGTGAGTAAAGGGGCCTGGGGGAAGCCGAAGCCTTGCCAGTGGGAAGGAAATGGCTACACCCTTTTTCATTCCCACCTGAGTCTGGTCTGGAAATTAAAGCCAAGTTAGTGCTGCACTGTCTGCCACCCTCCTGATGCAGTGAGACTCCAGATGGAAGACTTTTTCTCACAAGAAATGCAGCACAGGGCATGAGGCGATGCTCCTGAAACTCAAGCCCTTCTCAGAGGGTATTACTTTAACACAGTATTTATAACTTGAGGAAGCACATTTTGTCATCATGATGGTGCTGGATGGCTGGATGGCAGGAAACACTGGGCAGCTGCTGAGATGAATGAGCTGAGTCTGCTGTGTGGAGTCCTGCGAGGATGTCACTGTCTTTGAACTTTGATTTCTGGCTCTCACCCACCCCACCTCCACCCTAACCCTGATCCTGCAGACCACCCCTGCACTCGTCACTGTTAGGGCCATGTTTATAAAACAAGCTGTATATTAACTATGGACAATTTGCAAATATCACTCAAGTCACTGCCTACAGATAATTCTCACATACTCGCTCCCCACTAGCTTGGTACCAAAAGGAAAACAAATGGCATGTCAAAATTCCATGCTTGTTGAGGAGTGAAGAGGGACGGAAATTCATTCTCAACTTGTTCCCTAAGTGATCAGGGTCTTGATCATTGGTTGTCATCATTAACAAATCAATTTTTAGAGTCTCCTGTGGCATGAAGAATTAGGCATGTTAATTTACTAGATCGGATTACAAAGCAATACTCTGTCTGCTAATAGCTTATAGCATCATAAAGAAAGATTACAGGTTAGAGACAGACAAGTTTTGCACTGTACCAATTATGTCATTTCAGACAACTATTTAACCTCTATGAGCTGCAGTTCTCACATATGTAAAATAGGAATAATAATGTTAACCTCACATTATTGTAAGGATTAACGGAGGTAATGCTTTTCTAGAACAGTGTCCAGCACCTAGAACTGTGCTTAGCTAACTGCAGGTGCTCAATAAATATCCCAGGAAGGAATGAAGCTGGGGCAAGGAAGTAAGGGAGGGAGGGATGTAAAGCCCCCAGGCACAGAGCACTCTTTTATTTATTCAACAGAAAGCCAAGAACAGTGACATAAGCAGAATCCCCCAGAGCAGCCTTTTGGAGAAGAAATTTACATATGCTGCTAACATACACACATATATGTATTTAAGATTAGAACATTTTATTCTAATTTGAAAAGAAATATGCAACCCACTGTTCACAGCAGCACTATTTTACAGTACCAAAGACATGAAAACAACCTAAATGTCCATCAACTAATGACTGGATAAAGAAGTATTCCACACAATGGAATACTACTCAGCCATAAAAAATAAAATGTCATTTGCAGCAACATGGGTGGACCTGGAGATTATCAGGTCCTTGTACTGAGTAAAGCAAGCCAGAAAGAAAAAGAAAAATACCATATGATATCCCTTATATGTGGAATCTAAAAACATGACACAAATGAACTTATTTATAAAACAGAAAGAGACTCACAGACATAGAAAACAAACTTATGGTTACCAGCAGGGGAATAGGGGTTGGAGAGATAAATTGGGAGTTCGAGATTTGCAGACACTAACTACTATATATAAAATAGATAAACAACAAGTCCTACTGTACAGCACAGGGAACGATATTCAGTATCTTGTAATAGCCTATAATGAAAAAGACTATGAAAAGGCATATGTATAACTGAATCACTATGCTGTACACCACATATTAACACAACATTGTAAAACCAACTATGCTTCAATTTTTTGAAAAAGATGAGAATGTTTTAAAAAAATCGAATTGGGTGGTTCTGTCTTTGGGCCTGACAGTGAGAACTAATCAGAAGGAATGAAGTAGCTCTGATCATGGGCGGAGGGAGGGGCTCAGATGAAAGGGAGTCAGGGAGCAATTCTGGAGGGAGAAACAAGATAGAAAAGAAGGGGAGAGGAGGAGGCTGCCTGTCCTGCAGAAGCTGCTCAGTGTCACTTCTTCAGTGGCTTCCAAACACATGTGACCCTTTGGATATCAGAGGCAATCTGGCTGGAGGCTGAAAAAGACCAGAATTTCTGTTTAATAAATTGAATTTCTACAGAACAAATGTTCACTGATGCTCATATGAACGTGAACACGTTCTCTGGTTTCCCTCCCTCCCCTCGCCCTTCACTCTCTCTCTCTCCCCATTTCTTTCCTGAGACAGATAAACTCATTAACTATAGAAAATGATAATCCGTCTGGCTGAGCCCTGCTCCACAACTCCTACTCAAGAAAAACATAGACAGTGAGCGCATAAACCTTGGTTACCAACAGAGACACAGTGTACCAGTGCCCCGAGTGTGGGACTCCTGCCGTTTCCATATGCCATTTCGCAGTGTCATGGAGTTCGGAGGATAAACTGATCCACGGCATTAACAAGTGTTGCAAGCAGTACTTCGGTGCCCAGGAGGGATTTGGAAAGGCACTTGCTGTGCTTGCCAGACCTCTTTGTGTAGGTGAAATCACAAGTTCTCTTTTTCCTAACTCATTTCATTCCCTGCAAAATGCACCCCCCCCAAAATGCCCTTGTGAATGAGAGGAAAATGACTAGTTTGAGGAACTGACTGAGTTCTTAGATGCTGGGGAGGAATGGCTTGTCTGATGGGGGCATCACTAGTTAGTGGCACAGCTTATTAAAGACACACAGCCTGGCTGAACAGCTGCATTGCAGCCCCTTCCTTTCTTCCCGCCTCCTGTGGGTCATTTCTTATGACAAAGACCAAATTCACGCCCATGATTACAGAATGAAATACATGTATCATCTGCTTTTGTATTTCCTGGGCTTTTGAGGTAGATGTAGTATTTTGCAACTGAGAAATACAGTTTACTCAGGAACATACAGTGATTTAAACAAAAAATTCATTATTTCATTGTGGAAATTAATGGGCCTGATGGTTAGATGGAACAGAGAGGCATCCAGAGTCTTAGATTCAAATTCAGCCCTGATGTCAAGTTTCCAGTTTTGGCTGATCCATAAAGATGCTCAAATGTCTTTACAGAATTAGCAAACAAGTACAAATAATTCAAGCGATGGTGCCAGGGAATCAGAGAGTACATCCATCTCCCCTTGTGGCTTATCTGTGGCAATTCCTGCTTTAAAAATGTGACCGCCACTCCTCCTTTAATTATGTGTGTGTGCCTCTCTCTGCCTTTTTTGAAAGCCTTTGCATTTATTGGCTGCTGGCCTGAACAGGAGTGAGGTGTGAAAGGTACAGTCACCTTGAGCTCCAGGCCCTGCCCGTGAAGAGCTCTGCTGACCCTGACCCTGGCGACTCCCCCTTGTGTGGACCTGACACACGAGTGGGTGATAAGGGTGGGTTCTGCCTTACATTGGCTCACTCACCACCAGGGTTGAATCAGCTGATCCAGCAGGTAGTCTGTGTGCCCTTTCTTCCTCACAGCACATCACTATTACCTGTATAACCTTCATTCCATGCTCAGGACACTGGACTTTTTTGGCGGGTGGGAGTAATTAGGCTTATTTATTTTATTTTTTAGGTACCTGGGCTTGAACCCAGGATCTCGTGCATGCTAAGCACTGCACTCTTCCACCGAGCTATGCCCCCTGGACTTCTTATCAGTTCCTTGAATACTTAGTGTTGTTCTGTGCCCAAGGACCCCTGCACCTACTGTTCCTTCTGCCCAGAGTATTCTTCAGCAGTCTAATTTTGACTCATCTATCAGTCCCCAACTAAAATGTCTCCTCTGCTTGGAAGTTCTTCCTGACCTGCCACTTTAGAGTAGGTCCTCCTCTACTGACCTCTACAGAAGGCTACCTGGTGCTCACCAGACTTGTTCTTTTCAGTGTCTGGTCCTTCCACAGTGATGTAAGCATCATGAGGACAGAAACCACTGTCTGCCTTATTTCCCACTTTATCTCTATAATGCCTGGCACATAATGGGTGCTCAGTAACTGCTGAATGAATGAATGAACTAATGAGCAAATGAACAAACAGTTAAATGGGTTCTCCCGGCGTGTCTCCCCAAAGGTGTATGCCACATCAATGATGGGGATTTTTCTTTGATCAAAAAATATATATGGAGCTTTGCTTTCCAGCTAGGAAGTTCAAATCTCTGAGCTGGGAAATCCGTTCACCAATTATTAGTCCTTGTGCCAGCAACAGTTTGAGAGCAGCAAAGAGAAGTCAGCTATCTGTGTTGAGTGGAGTTGGAAAATGGTGGAGATAGGTACAACGGAAAGCTTATGAAATTCTCTTTACTTGTCTGGCACCAGTATTTAGTTTAAAGGAAACTTCCAGAATACAAACCACATAAATCTACTCAAATGTAAATAAAAATAATATTCTGTAGCAAACATAAAGTATTCGGGGTCATCCCCTGTTTGTATTACCCCATCACTGGTTCTCTGTCCGCTGAATTCAATAATCAAACATTGACTACAGCTTTTCTCTTTGCTCTAAAAACAATTTTTTTATTGTAATACTTGCTTGTCCATAGCTCGCAAAGTTGCAAACTACTAATAATCCCAGGTCTGTGCTAAACAGCACTGGTTCTAGTGCTAGTCCTGCTCTGCCAGCTTGGTTGCAAAGGCCCTCATCCCTTCTGTGCAACAGCTTTCCATTTATAGGTGGGCGGTGATGCAAATATTTGCCTCAGTAGGAAGCTGCCTATGACAGTATCTCTAAAAGGAGTTATATCCTTCAGTTCCCAAAAGATGGCATATTAGTGTGCTGCACACCTAGAGCAAGTCAGTGGACTGAGAGCAACTTTTTTAGGTTATTACATCTTTAAACTGAAGGGGTAGAAGCAGGTGTTCTCTGATTCCTTCTAGCTCTAAACAGTCTATTATTCACTTTAACAATTGTAAGCTCTTCCCCTCCCACCCCTTTACTCTCACAGGCATGTGCCAAGAATATCATCTGTCCATCCCAATCCTACAGAAGACTGGTAGAGGGAGAGGAATGCAGATGACAGAGCTTATGGTATGAAGTCTTTCCAAATACCAACAAATGAGAAAGTAGAAGAAATGCCTAAAGGGTCCCCTCTTCCTATTCACTGTGGTGGAGTCTGGTTGGGTGGTTTGAAGCCCTCCCAGGACTAAGCAGGGTAAGGGACACTTCAGTAGCAAGGTCCACCCTGACTGTACCGCCTGTGGTTGGTTGTCAACTACCACACTTGTGAACCTCAACTCATCATAGTTTTTTTTAATCCTGGGGAAGTACTTGTGCCCCCCAAATTTTTTCCTTCTCCCTGATGAAAATTCATCACTTAGTTACATTGTTTTGAATTTTATCCATTAGAAATTCTTTTGAGTTAATGAAAATTTCTCCTTCAAAATGCAAATACCTCTATGAAATTATCAATCGTTAACAACTGTAATTTAATAAGATTGCTTTCTTTTAATACCTTGATGAGATGAGACTTTTCTAAAGGAAGCTTGGGAGTTTTGATTAGGTGAAGAGGAACGTTTTTTGGGGGGATGCACTGGGGAAGGCAGGATTTGTGAGGCACTACTGAGACCGTTGGTAAGTCCTCCAGCCTCAGTAAAAGAAGAAAGTTTCTAGGAAATAAGAGAGAAAAAGAGTGAAGACAAATGGTACTTATTTCAATACTTTGATGTAGGTTCCAGAGCTGGTCCAGCACTAGGACTGGCCTTGAGGAACTGAGTATGGAAGAGATTGCCCTGAAAGGAACTTAGGAGTCTAAACTGAGTAGCTGCATGTACACAAAGGCCACCTAGGCTTTCAGAGAGAATTCTTTTCCCCAGCAGCATAAAGAGCCCTTTCTAGCAAGAATAGCTGTAATTTGCAGAAGTGTTAAAATCTACTTCCAACTGTAAAAATACTGAAATATCCAGGGCATAGCAAGGCAGCCGTTCTGCCCTGTGATATAATGTGTGATCTCAAAAAGTAATGAAAATAGAATAAGGCATTGTAAAGATATTGCTCTAATAAATACAATTCTGTTTGCTGGCTTTTTTCCTGCTAGCAAATTGTATTACTCCATCAGCTTGGTAGGCCATCAATAATGTCTTCAGAGAATAACTTGTGAAAACTGAGATACTCTATGGCAGGATTTTTGAAGACAATGTAATTTGGCATTTCTCAATTTTCTTTGATTTTGCACAGAGAAAATAGAAGACTGTGATAAATATTTTCCACAAATGACATCTTAAATGGAAACACAGCTGGTAGCAACAGTATGCTGTCATTTATTTGGATGTTGGATTTCAGGTTTTCTGTGTGAAACAACCATGCTGGCAGATTTATTGGTTTCTCATTTTTTCAGTACTTTTTTTCAGTTATGAATTTGGTTTTGCCTGTAGGCTTCTGGTGGTGAGAGGTAATGCCAGGCTGCTGGTGTATCTGTACTCAGTGGAATCAGAGTTGTGTATTAGAGGCTACTGAAATGGATTGGAGATGTTTTAATTTCACTATAAGGAGTTAACAAAGTGCACAGAGCTAATCTAAGGCAAAACTTAGATTGGGGAGGTTTAAGGAGGCAGTGAGGTCGACTGGGAAGAGAACAGATTCAGGAAACAGTTGCTGGGTTCTGAGCTCAGCTCCTCCATTTACTGGCTGTACCACTTTGGGCAGATTTCATAGCCTCTCAGAACCTTGGGGTCTACAACCATACATTTCTGTAATCAAGATAATAAACATCACAGGTATAATTAGTTATCAGTGAAATAGTGGATATTAAATTGTTCTGTTATACCTAAGGACTTAGTACAATCTTTGTTGCCCTGGCACCTGCCCAGCTTTTCATAGCTTTTGAAATAACTGTTGCCACCAATGCCCGCCCCATCACCACCAGTCTCAACTCAAAGCTTATTCTTACAGGGCTTTGTGCTCTGTAAGATGAACACTTTCAGCCTCTATCTTGGTACTTTGGAACTCTTGGCTCTCTGGATGCTCATTCTTTGGACATTCCCTCTCAGAACCCAGCTGCCATGTTTTGAGAAGCAAATCAAGAGGCCACATAAGGCTTCTGGTCAGAAGTCTCTGCTTGTGCTTATTCCTCAGCCACCCCAGCTCAGGTGGCAGAATGATA